GGTGGTGCAATAGCTAAAATAGAAAAGGGTAAATAACTGGGATAACCAGATGTTTGTGTTTTTCACCGTACACCGTTTGATATTTTTTTTATGGGGCACGGGGTTTCCACAGTCAGACCGTACAGCCTTCGCACCACTGACTTCTATTGTGGGTCATATCTCTCACCGTCTCTAACCAACGACAATCCTCATCCCTTGGGCCCCAACCTGGAAGACCAACTGCATTTCTGACACAAAAAGACGAGTTTTATGATAAACTCACCGAACTCATTCGGTTGAGCCGAAGCTCCAATATAGTTGTTCTCTCAGGTAATTTTAACGCTCAAGTTGGAAAACAGCGCATCGAAAGCTTGCATAGGTGGCCATTGTGCTCTGCCCATCCAGAGAACAGATAATGGCGATCGACTTCTTCATTTCTGCGCAGATCATCATCTGTTCCTATCCAGCACCAACTTCCAACACAGCTCTCAACGGACAGCAACGTGGCGCCCAAATTCAACCGGCACGCTAACTCAGATCGAGCACATAGCAGTAAGCGTGGCTCAGTACAAAACTGCAGGTCCTATTGGACCACCTGCGTTGAATCTGATCATGCGCTAGTTTTGATAGAGTTCACTCTCCAACTCACTGGTCGCAGAAAATTCCACCAAACTCGACTGGCAGATCATCGCTTATCTGATCCAGCAGTTCGTGCTCGTTTTGAATCAGAACTAGAGATAAACGTACTGCGGGGTGGTAGTGTAAGTGAACAATGGGATCAGATTAGCCGAGCAATGCACTCCGCAGCGAATGTTGCTTGTGAATCTGAAGCAGTAGCCCGCCCGAGGTATTGGATATCTGACGAGTCAGTAGCACTGATGGAGAAAGAGCTGCAAATCCCCTACCACCCGCGATCGAGGCAGGGCCGGGTGGCGTCTACAACGTCTTATCAAGAGGAGCCTCAAGAAAGACCGTGAGAACTGGTGGGCAACAATAGCTAGTGAAATGGATGTAGCAGCTGCATCAGGGAATAGTCAGAGACTGTTCCAACTGATACGCAATACGGGAGGTCGGCGAACCACAGTTAGTAAAACAATCTGCGA